ATTTGTTGATTTTGTCATGACATCTTCAATTCTCTAATTTTGATGAATATTTTTGTCATTTTTGGTAAAAAATTATATTTTCAACTTCTTCTTGACAACTGCTAATCCGATTGCTTTGTAACTTTATTTGTAGGTACCTTGGGTGAATTTCTGTCAGATTTGGTAATTTCCTGACGATATCTTCAAATCTCTAATTTTTGTGAACATTTGTGACATTTTTCGTAAAAAATTTTATTTTCAACTTCTTGTTGAAAACCTCTAACCTGATTGCTTTGTAAATTTATTTGTAGGTACCTTTGGTGGATCTTAGTCAGATTTGTTAATTTCATGATGCTATCTTCAATTCTCTAATTTTAGTGAATATTTTTGTCATTTTTGGTAAAAAATGTTATTTTCAACTTGTTCTTGAAAACCTCTATAAAACTGATTGCTTTATAACTTTATTTGTAGGCACTTTGGGTGGACCTCTGTCAGATTTGTTCACTTCCTGTCACCATCTTCAATTCTCTATTTTTAGCAAATATTTTCTTCATTTTTCATCAAAAAACATATTTTTGACTTGTCCTTCAAAACCAGTAGTCCAAATTCTTTGATACTTGTACACATGCAGCTTGGGTAGACCTCTATTAGATTTGTCCATTTCGTAAAGATATCTTCAATTCTCTACTTTTAGTGATTTATTCTCTGCAACAAAATCAAGAAAGTTGGTGTCTTGCGATATTAAAGCAGCTAGCATTAAGTTTAAATTGCTTTCAGAGCATATATCAGCCGACAGACTGCTAGTTATAATACTGTGCTCATTCACAATGTGTTTCGTTAATTGTGATCCTGGTGTGTTATCTTTCTGTGTATTGGTCTAGGCTATGTTGAACTACATTGTATTGATAGCCTTTTGTCTTACTTGTAGATTCATGTTTCTGTCAATCACTTCTCGTATTACAACAAAGTTCCTGATGTTTCGCAATATCTGACGACAGAAGGCAAAACAACACAGATCCATGCTTGTAAATGGGAGGTAGGAAATTTTCTTCATAACGTAACTACCGGTAACCAAATTATTTGATACCAAAGTTTCAAATACGTTTTATTCATTAATCATCTTTACAATTATGTCATACTACAAATCTTTAGATTATACAATATAATTACTATAAATTTCATGAACTCATTTACTCTCATCGCCATATTGTTTTGAATACCAAAACAGCAACATTGCCAGCTAAGTTGCTGACTGGTTCAGAAGATTGGGACAAATATAGCCAATTTTTGTAAAAATTGAAAATTGTCTCACATTTTGTCTATTGGATTCAAAATTAGGGTTCATTCCTGAAATATTAAAGAATATAAGATAAAAGTGCAAAAAATTTTGACAAGAAAGTCTGGTGGTGAAAAGGTCATAAATTCTGACATTATCGAAGACCTTATATAAACAGTATATGGTCTTACCTTTAGTCACATTGTAGTATTATTGTTTAGACTGTTGATGTTCGTGTTGCTACTTTGTTGGTAGGATTGTAAACTGGAAGAAACTGCTTCAGTTCTTGTTATACAGCCCTCAACAATGTGGTTTATTTATAACGCAAAGCCAGGAGTTGTAAAAAAGTAAGTATTTTGTTTTTTGGGCTCTAGGTGGTGCTGTTTGAATTTACCAGGTAGTGCCACTTACATTGTACAGGGCTCATACCACAAATTACAATTCCATAGATGACAATGTTAGCGTTTGTGTGAGTTTTTCAACAACAAAAAACAGGTTTCAAAAATTAAAATATTGTTTTAATTTGCTGAAACCGCATGTATGTAATTGAATTCTGACCAGAAAAATATGTGTCTGGGGGCGGACATCCGGGCATTTTCATTTCATGGGAACCATCACGGTGAAAACAAAGGCCGAAAACTCTCAGAAAATGATACTTTGGGATGGTTATTGAGACTCCCCTGAACAGTATAACAACATTAGCCCTACGTGTGTAACATATATAAATTTGATTGTTCAGAATTATTTCAAAGTTGAGTTTGTGTTGTTTTCTCAAATTTTCACCGGCTCTTCGCTCGGCGTTCCATGTTCCCCGGCTGCGCGCACAGAGCCCATAGAAATGCATGAACAGTGGTGCGCGTCTTAGCAACATGGAACGTCTTGTGACGTAGCTCCGCTCCCGAGGATAAGAAAGTGGGGTATGTTAGTTGCGCCACCACAGTTGATATAGAGAAATGTTCAGCCAATCAGACTGCCTTTTATATCTAGTATAGGGATTATATTAACTACATTTTTATTTTGAAGTGAGAAGAATCTCAGGCATAAGTCTATGAACAATGTTGGAGGTGTTTTTTCAGTTCATTTTAATAATAGGCAACCTTAATTTATTGACTGAGTACTAATTAAAAATTACTGTATAAAATGACTTTTACAATGACAAAAATGAATTTGTACACATTTCTCTTCACAAATGATATGTATGGTTTAAGCTTCAGTTCCCAATGCTCAATATCGATATTGTCTCTGCAAGTGCCAAGCATGATGTTACAAGTACATATCCCAGTGCGATGTCAACAAAAACACATTGCTTGCATACAGTGAATTAAAAATCAGCCCAGAACTTGACTAGTGGTTTTGACTGCCGCATTGAATCTATATTGAATCAAACTTTACAACGGTTACTAAAAAAATGTGTACTCATATATTGGCTATAACTAGAATTTGGGACCCACTGATCGTTGGACCATCCACGGATCCTGGTTGGTGTAGATCAAATACAATAACACAGTAATAATCGACATAATTAAAAAGTTATATCTCCCAACTCTCAAAGATGGTAAAAGTATAGGTCGGACACACCTCGAAATAACAATTTTTAATATTTGTAACAATTAATCTGATTGGTCAGTAACTTTGCTATCACATCCAATTAGAAATAACCTCCGATGTACACAATGCAAAGTGGTTTGTTTAATGAGTGGCTGCAAATCACCAAACCATTTTTTTTTTTTTTTATCAATGGTCCCTGATGATTATAGCTTCAAATACATGTTGATATTTTCTGAGAAGACCTGTGTTTTTCCCTCCCAAACACATTGCCAGCACCAACCACATACCAGCAATTGTCTGATCAGAGTCTGAGATCATTATTCCAATATAGGAAGTTGATACATGGTACTACATTAAAAACAGCAAAAGAAATCTAAAACAATAATAACAAATTACTCAAAATAATAGAACCATTCAATAATTAAGTGATTCCCAAGTACATGTAGAAAATTTCTACTTTCTAGTATCCAATAAGCTGACTGCATTCCTGGTAAATATACCATCTACCATCATAATCCTGTAGCTTCAATTGCAGATTAAAGCATTCTTATTTCACATGTTCTGATGTGTCTGTTTTCTGTTTACTTCATGTAGGCTGGATACACACAAGTATAGAGTATGTTTTTCATTTCATTCGTCATGTAGTGAGGTAAGCACAGTATACCGGAGCATATATTAGGTGTTTTCGCACAAGTATAGAGTATGTTGCTTAAATCTATTGTATTTGTGATATCTCGAAAGGATCACATATCTAGATAACTTATGTACTTTTTTCTTCATGAAAACAGTAACACAAATGTGTGTTAACATTTCGTCATGTACCACTAGTTTGAAAATTACCTCATAACTTCACATTAAGCATCTCGAAAACTAAGTTCATATTTTGAGACACTTTGCCATATTATTTCTTTGAATGTGTTCACTCTCACAGATTGATATCTTTTAGAACTATTCACTGATCAGGAATTGAAATGACATCAAAAAATCTGCATTTCAGATCAGAGATTTTGTTGGGTACCTTTGTCCTGAGAATGTATACCCTAATGTCATTCCTGTTGGTTGTAGCGAAGAGGTGGTCGTCAACAGGTAAGGCCAACAACAACAATATTTCTGGTTGCCTAGTTCAGTAGGGTTTAGTAGTCAGAGGCAATGTTACATTAATCCAAATGGCAAACTGTTTACTCAGCCGTATAGCTTCTTTGATCCTGGTTGGCTTAAATTTAAAAAAAAAATTAAGCCAACTAAGATCTTATTTTAATCAGATTGCTTCTTTGACCATCAGGTCACTTGTTTTGATGTCTCCATATTGACATTGGCTAGTCTAATTGATATCAGTGGCACCAGACACTTTTAATTCTGGTGAAGTGTAACACAAATTCTGATTGGTAAGAGACCTCTAATATGAGTTCTGATTGGTAAGTGACCTGTAACATGAGTTCTGATTGGTAAGAGACCTCTAATATGAGTTCTGATTGGTAAGTGACCTGTAACACAAGTTCTGATTGGTAAGAGACCTGTAACATGAGTTTGGGCTGGTAAGAGACCTGTAACATGAGTTGTGATTGGTAAGTGACCTGTAACACAAGTTCTGATTGGTAAGAGACCTGTAACATGAGTTTTGGTTGGTAAGAGACCTGTAACATGAGTTGTGATTGGTAAGTGACCTGTAACATGAGTTCTGATCGGTAAGAGACCTGTAACATGAGTTCTGATTGGTAAGAGACCTGTAACATGAG